GATATCACAAGTTCGAGTCAAGCTCTCTAAATCCCCAGCGGAGTCGCCAGAAACTGTAGACACGCCCTCGCGCCTCATGCTACAGTTCGGACTCAATTTGTGTCACGGTCCTGTATCTAATCTCGCAGAGTGCAATGCAAGACCGATGAATCATCAAAGAGTCCAAATCTGGCAAATCGTTTTTGAAAACAGATTTTTTTTGAAAGAAGTGCCAAACATGGACTGCTTTGCCAGATACAGAGTCGCCACCTAAATATTTTTTTTTATGAGGGCATTTAGGAAATCCTGACACAGTGCCAAAGGCCACGTGTCCGTCATCACCAAAGTTGCCTCGGCTCGGGAGCTTGGATACGATTGGGGAAGGTCAGCTATGAGCACCCCCTCTCGCCCGATCCGAAGATCGGCATCTACTAACCGTGATATCCATTTTGAAAACGTTATGTGTTCTTATTCCGGTTATTAGCCTAGAATTACTATGTTATGCGCACAGCAAACAAGTATAGACCAAATCGCCTAAATTGGAACAAAACAATTCATGCTTGTTTTGAAAATGGTTTGCTACTCGTAAGTAGGCTAAAATGCAGGTTTTGCAACCCTCAAGTGGGCTTTAGAAAAGTTGGTTTTGCCACTATCTAGCGGGCTTAAAACTCACAATTTTAATGTATTATTCCAATTTAGGTAATTCGACCACCACCCACAGACACTCAAGCAATTTATATCACATAAGCAGCTAGCCTCATGGTAATCATGCTATTATGGCAACACTCACACGCATGCGGTATGCTAAAGCATAAATGTTTACCTAGTACTCCGAGCCAAAACAAAAGCTAGTTAGTCATCAATGCATGATCCTAGCTCATGTTAAGATGGCTAATGCAACACATACAAGATGCAACTACAATAGGCTCGACTATTCTAAGATGGCATGTGATGATGCTACAACTAACATGTATTCAACTTTGGAATTGAAATACAAATGCAGTTAGTATGATGCGCCGAGCCCGGTGCATGTAAGACAAATGTATGGATGCACGCATGCTATCATACTGCATGCTAATTGAAACATGCCCTAGGCTAACCATTGAAAGCTAGTAAATAAAAGGGAAGAAAGACGTGGGGTTGGGAGACATACACACACTCACGCACACTTATTACACAATTGCCCTCACTCGGAGGGTCCAAATAAATATTACAAACCACCTAATTAATTAACTCTCAAGCTAAATAATTAATTACAAAAATTTCTAATTAATTAACAAATTAAATGCAAAAGAAAGGTGGCCGCAACCCTGCCTCGGGATGCGTGAATGATGCATGCTTGACTCGTCTCACCCGGAAACTCGCTGCCATAGCACTGTTGCCTCTGTTAACACTGCCTTGCTCCTCTGAGGACTGCCAAAGTCCAAGGGTATGCTCTTTGGATGCTGGTGGATACCACTGACCAAGTAGAAACGCCACCGGCCGGAGGGGATGATCACCGGCCACTAAATAAGCTATCGGCCAAACATGTTTTACCGGTCGACACCCAACACTGCCGACCGGCCAATACTTCCTACTGAAACCTGCAGCTGACAGCAGCAGAGGGCAAGCAGTGTATGGCATGGAATTTTCAAAAAAATGTGAGCATGGACACACTCCCTATCATGCAAGGGACTCAAAGGAGCATGACCCTCAACCCCCGGGCCATCAATTATGCATTTTGATGCATAATGGCCTAAGAGGCCAAGTTAGCAACTTAATGTAAATGCATGTAAACAAAACACATGAATGCCAACACCTTATCATGTTGAGGTCAAGGGGGTCAGCGACCAAGGATCGAGGTGCGTTACGTCACTTTGAGTACGAACACATCTCAATTCTCATGTTTGGTTTGACACCCCAAACCAAACAATACATTGTATGTATGCAAATGTGGCTCAACTATGCAACATGAGGCTAAGATGCAAAACATGCCAAATGTGATGCAAGCTAAACATGCAAATGTACAATGCTAGGCATGTAACATACAATGCAATGCAGTCAAACATGTAAGCTAAGACATGAAATGCAACTAGCTAATAATATGTAAGCATGCAAGTATGATACAATGCAAACATGAAACCAATGCAACATGATCATGCAATGGTGGACCTAAGACACAAAGGGCAGACCTCAACCCACTCCCAAAACAGTGACAAAAGATGCCTAAAATGATGAACAAATACTCATGTAAGCATACACACCAATAGGCCCAAGATTAAGGCATAACCAAGGAGTATTCTACTACCACTACCCCAAGCCAACGTGGCATGAGCTATACAACCAAAAACAGAGTTTAGATGCATTGAAATAAGTCCTAAAACCCTCTGATATGGCAGCCCCGAAGGCTTAAACACTTAGGCATGCACAATGCTCATTTCAAGGCATAAAAGGACGCATCTTCAAAGCATGAAAGAGGTGATGAATGTAAGCATATAAGCATGGTTTGGGGACTGAAACATGGTCCCTAATGATTCCAAATCATTAGAATAAGCTAGGCTAAGCATGCTAGAGACCCACATGCTCAAGGCTCACAAGCCAAAATGCAAAGAGGCTACCCTAAACATGGAAAATATGACTAAAACAGCCCCCAACAGTCCTTGATCATGGCAAAATAATGCTAAGACTTTCATGGAGTTAAGCTAGAGCATGCAAGAATCATGGCCTAAATGCATGGCTTACTTCTATGGAAAATGGAGGAATGCAAGGCAAGTATACTATGCATGCAAGGGACCACAAATCCGACCAAAAACAGAGGCAATAAGTGACCAAATAACATCCAAAAACTTCTGAAATGGGGCCAAATGCAACCAAGCATAGATGTTACCCTTATGAGCCAAAACATGAACAAAATGAGAGACCAAGGGAGAGGGGTGTTCCTCTCCTATGCAAGACCTCAAACCCCCTTCTTCACCACTGAAAATCCACTGGATTTCAATGGTGAGAAGTCTAATACACCAAAGAAAACAAAACTTAATAAATGAAGCACAAAAAGGGGCCAAACAAGGCCTAAGAGAGGGAGGTCGACACCCAATGCCAAAACAACCTTAATGAGATATTTTAAGCATGCAAATACAAGACTTTTTTCAGTTATACACAAAGTGTAAAACAATGAGCAAGATAGGCAAAAGTCTAATGCAAGATTGGGGAATCTAAAGTAAAAGAGTTACCCTTGAAGAACCCTTGAAGAACCCTTGATGAACAGCAAGTGCAGCCTTCTTCTTTTGATCAAAACCAGTCAAAAACCTCAAGAACAAACCCCCAAAGCCCCTCAAATTCGAAGTAAGGTGTAATGCTATGTGTTTTAGTGTAAAACAAAGAACAAACACACACTTTAGGCCCTCAAACACACACAAAATGAAGAGAGAGAGGGAGATATAGAGAGAGAGGATGATATATATCAGATATATATGTGTATAGCTCTGTTTTTTGCTGAACCAAACAAAGGAGGAGGAGGGGCTCTTATATAGGCAAGCTAATTGGCCAAAGCTTCTAAGGGAAGCTACTCAAAAGGGTCAAGGCTTACAAGGGAAGCCAGGATAAGGGTGCAAGGCTTCCTGAGGAAGCTAGAACAGATGGCAAGCTTCTTGAGGAAGCTTTAGCAAAGGGTCAAGCTTCCTCAAGAAGCTTTGACCAAAAGGGTGCAAAAAGGGCAAAACAGCCACAAGCATGCCCTGGGGTAGGTTTGGTGCATTCCAGCTGGCACAGCTGGCATGCCCCATACCTGAAAATGGTAAAAAGGTGCTACCGGCCAGAAAATGAGGTCACCGGCCAAACAGATGGCCGGCCGGCCATACTGAGTGCCGACCGGCCAATGGTATAATTCATCAATGGCCGGTAGCCTCAAAACATGGCCGGTGGCCTCAAACCAAGGCCGGTGGGTGTCAGGGGTAGCTAACAAGCTACTTTCTACCCTCAGAAGCAAAAAACACAAGTGTTTGGTGCAAAACCAAACACAGAACAGTCGAGTTGAGAGATCCTGAGGCAAAGCGCGTAGCCGAGACCTCCGGGAACTCAAAACGAAACACAAACATGAGTAATCACCGAGTGTTCGAGCGGTGACGTCCAAATCTTGAGGACGGTAAAAAATGGGGTGTCTACAGTAGTAAGTCCCCATGTGATTTTCAATTAAAGTACATCCCTTAACACCGTTAATTATAAATATAAAATGACTATAATATTATCAAACTGTGTACTTTTTTTTTTGGTTATTTTCTTTCTCTCTCATTTCCCATACATATTTATAATGTCTAACATTAATTCAATTAAATCATAAGTAATCATATATACTTAGCTATTTATTGTAATTATTAACTTTTTATTATAATTATACTGGCATATTTCTCGTGCTATATACGAGTATAAATAAATAATCAAAAATTAATTTTTAAATTTAAATAGTAATACAAAATTTATAAATATATGTAGTAAAAAAGATTTATAATCAATTAAAATTTATTCATTTTTATCAGCGACCCTGTTTGGTATAGTTATTTCTACTTTTTTTAAAGTTAGAATCTGATAATGAGAGAACATAAACTAAAAGTACCCTTCACTAGTTTCCAAGTAATTAGCTTGTTTCAGCTTATGTAAGTTATTTCTGCCGTGAAGCTATAACCATAAGCTCCACCAAACAATCTGGTACAGACTTCCAAATTAAAATAAGTTGTAATTACACTACAAGAAAAAAGAGTTTAGGCAGTGTTTTTTTTAACGACGCATTTTTAAACGTCACTATTTTTAAATATTTAACGATGTTTAAGAAAACGTTGCATATTTATTTAATAAAACGACACCGTTTTATAATAGAAAATGCCTCCAAATGCGTTATGCGCTCCAAATGCGTTATGCCTCACGCGTTTGTCACCCCCTCTTTTCAAACCCTAATGTTGAATTTGAGACTCACCTAAGACCCAAATCTCGACCTCTCTCTCTCTCTCTCTCTCTAAATCTCAAAGTGACTTCAAAGCTCCACTGCCTGTTCATTCTCAGAGCGAGGTAGCGAGCACCAACGAAAGTGAGCTCCACTGCCTCTCTTTCTCTCTCTTAACCCTCTCTAAACCCTTATCAGAGCGATTGAGAGATTCATCTCAGTGATTTCATTGCAGAGATTCAGAGATTCAGATCGGTCTCCACCATCTGTACCATCGTCTGCTAAGGTGCGCTCCATCGTCTCTCTCTCTCTCTCTCTCTCTCTGTTTCAGTGATTGATGAGTTATATATGCTCTGGTTCGCCCCCAATCCAAGATTAATCCAGATGGGGTTAGGGCCCATGCTAAACAGGTTGTGCAAGATCATCGCCGTCTAAAAGTTGGTCTTCCTCTCTTGGACACTTAAAATGAATAGATCAGGATAACTATGGATGACAAACTTTTAATCTACAGGATACATGTATAAATATATATGTATGGATGGATGGATGTATGTATGTATATAACTATTATATATAAATATATAAATATTATATGTATTTATATAATATATATAAATATATAGTTCAAATTTACTAACCACAATATATTGCTAATGCTACCTAATTTGATTCCACTCAGGTGATAATGTTTGTTTGATTCTAAAGCTACTCGTTTGATCATTTAAACAATTAGGGAGTACCTGATGAACCTCCCTCAATAAATGGATGCATGTTCATAAAAGAATTATGGGACAAAACTAATAATGTGTTAGTTATATTTTGCAGTGAATATCTATAATGCTCGTGGGAATTGTGAATAATAGGTTAAATATTAGTGAATATTTGTTTAAAGGAGATGGTATAAGGAAATGATCATACAATGCACAAATCCTTTTGTATTTAAATGTTGAGAATTCTATTACAAACTTGATATCAAGATTCTGCCTAGTAAGCCAAATGTATAAATTTCCACTTATGTTGGCTCATAGTTTTGTGAGCCATAGTTGTCTATTTCTTTGACATTTGATCTAGTAGCCTTCCCTTAGATAGGAAGAGAATTAATAAATACTGATAATTCCCATTTCTCTCTTTTTTCTTCCTTCCATTAGAGGTCAAAAGGCCGTCAAATTTTGTGGATTTCTATTCTTATGCATTTCGATGCTGCTTAACAGGTATGGTGATCCATGGCAGCCTTTAGTTAATCTCGGAGAGCCATATTTATTCCTTTTATGCTGCGTACAAGGTTTTTTTTTTTTTTTCCTCTTATATGGTTTTAAGAGGAAAAACAGGAGTATTGACATTGAGAGCATTTGCCAATTACTTGATCTTGTTCTAGGGTCCCAATCCCGTGCCCAAGTCGACTACTTTGTTGAGTACTTGAGGGTGAGTAGTTGTAGTTTTCTCATGATCACCATAATGCAGAAGGTTTTTTTGTATTTGCTTCCACAATTGTCCAATGCATATTCCCTCATTTCTTTTTGAGTATTGCTGAGAGTTTCCTTGATTTTGGACTTGTGATTCGAGGATTTGTCATATTAGTGAATATCATATGGGGCTAGCTCCTGTTTGCTAGTTTTTTAGTTAAATTCAGAAATTTATCCCTAAACTGTTTCATTTAGCAGTCTCACATACAATGATGCAACATAGTTTGAGTGGTGACGTGAAGGACCTTATAGGCATGAACAAGATAGGAGCAAATCCCATTTATTTATCTCATTTGAGTGTTTTTGCTTTGAATGCAGACACAAATTGATTACAAGGTCATAAACATAGACCAATGGATGGGTTTCTATCGGTTTTGCAATGAGGTAATCCAACGGTTAGTTGCTAATTGTTATTTTAGAATTTATAGATTTCTTTTTTTTTTAGTTGATCCTCTAATGTAAATTGACTGGTTGATGTGTGTGATACATTTAAAAATCCATAAAGATGTATATTTGATATTACCTTTTTCTTTAGAAGTCATGCGGACACATGCACATTATTTAGTTTACTTTTTCTAGAAATGGAAGTCTCTAGAGGGCTGACCGGGCTGTCCATGTAATTTTTATAGATGGAACTCTAGAGGCCAAGGGAAACCATAAGGTGGGTTAATATTGATCAGTTAGCCTTTTTGTGCATTATTCTTTCTTTGTTATCTTTATTCTTCCATTCTGCGTTTATTTTTGGGTGTTGTTCATCTTTGTTCCTATAATTTCTTTTGGCTTGTTTCTTAGGCTTGATCTATTAAAAATTAAACATTTTTTTAATGTGTGTATGCTTGTTATTCGAAAAGGTAAAAGACAGTTGTGGAACTGTGGGGTTTAACTGACATCAGCTTCAAGCTCCTGTTTTATCGCATTTGGAAAACATATTCGTCCTTTTTTTGAATGAACTGGGAAATGTTTGCTTGTCCTTCTGTCCTCTGTTAATGCAAGCAAATGTATTCCTGTGTGTTTTACCGTGCTTTGTTAATGCCATTTTCCACCATAAACTGTGTTATGTGGCACCTTAGTAGCATTCTTATGTTCTAACTTTTGCCTCACGTTGAATTATGAAATTCAACAAATTTATAATGTATTTATTTATATTTGGTTTGAGATCAACATACTTTTCCAGTAGAGAAATTGCTTGATGGTCATTCAATTTTCTGAACACGACACGATTTTTTGTTGTTATTCCACTGCATAACATCTTATATGAAGGTGAAAGATATGTCTCTATATTCATTACATTTTTGTTCCCATCGTATGAGCAAAGCTTCTGAAAAATAAAATAAAATAATCATAACCAGAAATATGAATGACTTGCAACAACATTGTTTTACTTTTCCACTGTAGCCAATTATTGTTATAGGCTGTAGATTGCAGCTGGACCATTGCATACTAGCTATTTTGAAAAGTATTCCTTATGGTTAAATTTCCTTTTTTCACAACTCAAACTTGACTCAATGATATTGAAGCTTCTATGGCTTTGCATGTGGCCTTTAAATGGACCTGCCATTTTTTAAACTGTTGGATTTAAATTGCAGAGGGACTTATTCAACTCTGAGAAAGTATATTATTTAGGAAGATGTTATTTGTTTCATTCCTATATATGGTAATAACCTTCAATTATTCAATTCTGATGAACTCATGTATTATTTTTCTTTCATTTATGGATTATTTAAACATACTGATGCAGTGATGCTCTTGTCAATTTAAATTTGAAATCTAGAGCATATATCTCCTGCCCAAATCATATACAGGGCATGTTTTTTGCCCTGTCCTCTTTCTGTCTCTCTCTCTCACACACACACACAAAAACACACAAACCCACATATACACATACAAAAAAGAATTACAACGTAAGTAACACACGACTCCCATGTCACACCACAAAGATACATTTATCATAAGATAATCATTCACATGTTTTTTACTCTTGGGTTATATTTTGATATTATTATGTTCAGATACTTTGATTGTTGTTTGTTATTATGAGAATATACTGAAGCTGTTGCTGTTCATGAGGGCATTTAAATCATGGAGATGGGTGGTCAGGAAAAGACACATATTATTTGACAGGGTATATTTTATTTGAAAATAGTTGTAATTTGTCTAATTTCATAAACTAGGTGGATAGATGTTGTGAACAATTTGTTTCATATGTTTAAAGATGTCTTGATTGAAGGCTTGAGTATTAAACAATGTAACAATTGAAATGCAGGGAACATCAGATAGACGAACAATTGAACCCCTTCTACACATCGAAGGTATTATTTTCAGTTCTATTTTCTTATTTTTTAAAATTGCATTGTTTTTGTTCTTTTATTTGTTTGCCTTAAACATGCCATAACTTCCGTATTGCTTTGGATTTGGTCTGATACTTGGTTTTGCAATTTTTTTTTTCTTCAGTTGTTTTATGAACTTGCACATGATAGGTGATTTGGCTTACAATAGTTTGGCTAGTTTACCTTGTGGCATCATTCAAGCTGGTTCAGATTTGGAGTTAAAACCTCTGTTGTCAACAAGTAGTTCAAGGGAAAAGGTTAGGTTTTGATCTTGTTATACTTGCCAATGTGCAAACTTCTTTTGAACATGCACTTGTCAGAAAGTTCATTTACAATTTATTGATTTTTCTATATCAACAGACAAAATCTGTTTATACGCTTCTAAAGTTGTGTTACTTGTGTAGATGATCATTACTTCATATATGTGGCTAACATGTGGCTGCCTTTTCTTCAATTATCAGGTTGATGTTTCAAGCTCTCAAAACTTACTAGCAACAGACAAGATTATGGCATTCTGCTTTTTTGGCAATTTCCCTGCCCATTGACATACATTTTTAAAGGTTAATCAGAGGTAGTCTAGTTTGTAACTCCCATTAATCTGGCTGATTCTTGTTTGTGCAATTGATGATTTTGGATCAAATGAAACGTTTGTAGGGTAAGTAGGATAAGACAGTTAAGGGAATGTGAATTTTACGAATCTAGGTGTTAAAATGAGGGGAAAATGAAACATTGGTTCTTTTTACTTGCTTGTTTACATACTCTCACTTTTTTAGAGTAAATTATGTTAATTAATTTGTTTTTCCATTGAGGTTCTTGGATATATTGAGGCACATGATTATTGATAAAGTGAGGTTGTGGCCTGTGAGGTTGATTTCTGCTAAAAATATATATTTTTCAGTTATATAGTTATTGGGTTTATTGAAGTGTAATGCTTTGTTGTATCATTGTTTATTTGACGTATAAATTTCTTCTGCTCTGTTTCATTCTCAATTGTTTGTTCTTTTGTTTTTCTTTTTCTCGTTTGAAATTTAGATAATTGTTTACTAAAGCCTTCCAATCATTGTATCACAGGAATGTTTATTGGGGCTTTTGGATTCGAAAACAGTTTGTTACTCATCAGGTGGAGTTCTTACCAGCTACAGAAAAAGTAGCTCATTTCAAATCTGTCTTTGATTTGGGTTATTTTTCCCTTTGATTCAAGCAGACCCCACTCGATTCTAATTTTTCTTCTTCCACATTTTTCTTATACAAGACAAATCTGGTTTTTGTTTTGGTAATAATGAATGGTTTATATCTGAGTATTGGATGTTTCTTCTTTACGGTTGAAACAATTGGTTTGCATTGTCGGCTATGGTAATGACTTTGGCCCTTTTTATTCTGTGTTTTGGAGCTATCTTGATTTCATAAGCAATTTTTACACTCTTTTTGTTTGTTCGTCAAATCTTTACAGGTGTTAATGATTATCATAAGCATACTTGATGGCCATCTTATGATTAATGTACACATATGGGCAATGTAAAAAATTTATATTTTGCCTTTTTCCATTGAGAATTGTGAATTTAATTTTTGGATATGTTATTTTGTGGGTAATGTTAAAACATCATTTGTGGATATGTTATTTTATTGGTAATAGAGATTGTATATTAAGTTGAATGGGAAAGTGAATTAATGTTGCACTTGCTATTTGAATAGGAGTTATTTCTTATTAGTGCTATTTTTTAGTTTTATTACAGGTATTTTTTTAATTCAAACACATAAAATTAGCACAATTAAAAAAGAAAGGGCTATTGTGGTGTTTCTAAAAACGTCGCTAAATATCAAACCAACGGTTGGATTTTTTAAAAAAGAGATACGATGGCGTTTTAAAAAACGTCGCTAAATAGCTTGTTGATGTCATGTTACTGGTAGAGGAACTTTTAGCGGCGTTTTTAAACCGTCATAAAGTTATAGCAACGGCTGCATCTTCGATGTTTGGTGCTAAACGTCACCAAAAGATTTGACGGCGTTTTTAGGGACCTATAGCGGCGTTTTTAAACGCCTCTAAAACCCCTATTTCCAGCAGTGTTACCTCTTAGAATCTATACCAAATAGCCTTAGAACTACACATAACAGAAAGTTTTTATTATGATGTCATTTTGTGTTCTAAATTGTTAATAAAAAAAATACATGTTCTAATTTAATTGGTAAAAATAAAAAATAAATTAAAAAAGTTATATTTTTGATAAAATATAAATACATTTCATTTTATAAGTTTCATAATTTTAATTACCATATGATAGCAGTAAATTACATACAAAAAATATAAAAATACAAAAATGGACCTGCTAGTCTCCATATATAGTTGGGTGTAATTTGAAAAGTATAAATAAAACTGAATGACAATACAAATAATATATATCTATATTTGTGAACGTGAAACTTAAATAATCAATTACTTAAATGAATAAGTTTATAAGAAAGATAAATTAATTGTAGAGAAAAAAAATGAGATCTTTTTAACAAAACCCATTGCAAGTAAGACATTTTTAAAGTTAGTCATCACAGTTTATTCTTTTTCAAGCAAAAAGTTAATGCTAATGCATAGGATTATAATTACAACAACTCCGGTTGGTAGCTCGAAAATCCGTGAGTCGAATGGGTCGAAAAAGCAAAACGACGTCGTTTTGCCTCTTTTTTTTTTTTTTTTTTTTTTGTCTTCCTATCAGAGGAGGAGGGGAAGAAAGGAGAAGAAGAAGAAGGGAAGAGGGCAGAAGAAGAAGAAGGGTGGAGAAGAAGATCAGGAGGAGGAGGAAGGAGGGAGGGGAGGGGGCCATAAAAATCGACAGGAGGAGGAGGCGGGGCTGCGGCGAGGCTGAAGGATTGGACGAGCTCCTCGCGGCGGAGGCACAGGCGGCGAGGCGACGGCGTCGGCAGAGGCGACGACGTCCTCCTCTCTCCCTCTTTTCTCTGCTCTCCATCTCTTCTCTCCCTTTTCAAATTTCGGGCTATTCGACCCTTAAATTTTCGAGCTACCACCCAATTTTCTAATCACAATGAGCAATAACTTGATTGATTGTAAAATATTTATAATATTAAGAATGTCATTTAAAATACAAAAGAAATATAAAAAATTACAATCATATCCCTCTCACATGCTTTGCTTTGTCATCCATCTAAAAATGATGTTCAGAAAACACAATAATTTGTTTTCATTTATTGTAAAGTATTTATAATGTTAAGAATGTTATTTAAGATTAAAAAAGAAAAAAGAAAAAAAAAACCCACACTCATTTTTGTCTCTCATATGCTTTACTTTGTCATCCATCCAAACATGATAGATTTTTTTTTTTATATTTATTTTTAAGATGGATCCAAACACGATAGTTAAAATACACAATCGGTTACTTTCTTTTTTTCAATTAAATAAGAAATCGCAAGGTTTTTAATTATTATTATTGTTATTTGTTTGGTCACTGTCTGATGAAAACGGAGTGTAAAACTTCAATACTCACAATAAGAAAATAAATGAAAAAAAAAAAACAATAAGAAAAGTAAATAATAAGAAAATAGATGAAAGAAAAGCTATCATTGCAATAAGAAAAGCAATTAGCATAGCTCATTCAAGGTTGTTTATTTTTCAATAATTTGACTGATTGTAAAATATTTATAATATTAAAAATGTCATTTAAAATACACAAAAAAAAATAAAATCACAATTAGATCTGTCTCTCACTTTTTTTTTTTTTTTTATCGGCAAAAGAAAACTTTATGGATGAAACAATCAAGCACAGAGTACAAAATAAAATACACCAATATAGAAAAGAGAACTGCAAAAGCATCACAATAAACTAAATAATCCAAACTAGATTGGCACCAAAAAACACATCCTATCATTTGCTAGCCCTGAATTGGTGAGAAACCAACCAGAACAGGCCAATACCACAACAATGCTGCTCTAACAAGAACAGCCCAGCCCAAACACTCAGCCACCAACCAATGCTGGACACACCAATAGAGACCTGTCTCTCACTTGCTTTACTTTGTCATCCATCCGAACATATATTCTCTCTCTCTGTCTATCGCACAATATCAAAAGTTGAACAGAGATGGATCGAAGAAGAAATGGAGTGAGAGAATGATGGTGAAAACCAGTTCTTCATAGACATGGAAGAGTAGAAAAGGGAACTTCAGTTGTAGAGAAAGGCACTCATACTCTTTTCGTGGATGAACTACTAGACTCCATGGAGCCAAAAGGGTTCTATACATTATTCACCAACTTTGGTGCGGATAAGGATGTCTACATCCCATTCAAGAGAACAAAGCAGACGCGATCAAGATTTGGATTGGTAAGGTATGACTGTCCTATCGTGGCATGAATGGCAATACAGAAAGCAACGGTCTGTGGTGTGATAACAGAGCATTGAAGGTAAAACTAGCAGATTTTGGAAAGGACTATGGAGGTAAACCAAGACCAACATATGTACAAGAGGTGAGGAAGGAAGGGGAGGTAAATTATGCGAATGCTACTATAAAGAATAGAAAGAAAACCTAGGCTCAGGTGGTATGTGAGGGTGAGAAGAGAGATATCACAAACATAACCATAAGAGCTCATGAAAAAGGTAATGGATGGTTACCTCAATGCTTGGTGACAGAGTTCAAGGAAGAATAAGTAAAGAGGGATATGGGGGCATCAAAGTTACAACTGATGAAGGAAGAGATATAGTTGTCTCATTCGAATCAGAATAAGAGATTAAGGAAAAACTTATCAAGATGATGGCTAGATGCAGGAATGGAGGGAATCTGTTAAGGAATGGTAAAGGGGAATGGCCATAGAAAAAGAAAGACATGTATGGCTGAGTAGTTATGGGGTGCCCTTAAACCTCTAGAGCAACAACACCTTCAGTAGTACTGGAAGGTTATGGGGTGAAATCATTGGGCTAGATGATGACACTCTCAGTATGAAGAATTTGCAGTGCGGGAAGGTAAGAATTGCCACCACATGCATGGAATCTATTAATAAACTAGTAAATCTAGATTGTAAGCGAATCTTATTCCCAGTGAAAGTGTGAGAAGAGCAAGTAATTACCAATGTGATGATAAGAAAGTTGTGCAAGTGCCATAATAACCATCAAGAGGCTGAAATCTATAGCTCAAACGATGAAGATGATGAGCAGAAGACAAATTAGGGGACCAAGTTGGAAAATGACGAAGATGAGTTGGACGTCCAGCAAGGAGATGAGTTGGACAAAATGACTGACATGTAGATAGGAGGTGGGGGAACAGAGTATGATGATAGGGCTGACATGGAAGGGAAATAAAGATGGTTAAATGTTTCAGTGGTAGAGGAGACTGACAGCAACTTGGCAAGAAGCACGCGCAAGAACACCTGCAAATGAGATGATGAGTGATGCACATGAAGAGAAGCGGGGAAATCAAACCATTGATGGAGAGGTTATCACACCTGGATTCATGAAAAGCCTTAGTGGGTCTGATCAGTCCAGGCCTGGGCTAAACATTGAAGTGG